AGTCAACACATTAGGATTTGCTCTTTTCCTACCCTCCTTCAGCACTTGGCTGGCTAATTATTCAAAAGCTGGGTCCTCCACCTTGCCTTCCCACGGCTTTTCAGTGCAGCCCTGTGCTAATCGCTCTCATCTCTCTTCGGCCACCTCCTCCAGAATTCTGGATCCCTCCTGGGCCTAGAATTGTGTTCTGGGTCAGCTGTTTTAATTTGTTTATCACATAACAAATAAGGCTCTGATTTCCTCCAAAGCTGTTTCTTCTCCTCAGGAGATTTATGTCTCTGGTCTCCTCTAGAAATATTGAGGCAAACAATGGACTTAATTTTTAATTTTTTTTACAGTCATTTATGCTGATTCTGTCAATAATCCATCTTCACCATCTCAGAGATTGCACTGTCTCACTTAATGACCTCTTGTTGCATGTGCTTGAAAAATGTCTATTTATTGTAACCTTTGTAATCTTCCTTTCACTTTCCACCTTTTGGTTTTCGCTAATTTTTTTTTTTTTTTTTTTTACACTCTCATGAGCTGTAAAGGGCTGAATTTTACTGGATCTGTCAGGAATGACTGAAATATGGGTCTCAGAGTAAACTAAAATTTATGGGAAGGCTGATGCATGACTTTGTAACAATGTATGTATAGTTTTGTCAAGCATTACCATATGTAATGTAGGCAAAATACTATAGAAAGTCAATTATTTTAACTTCAGCCAAGACAGAATTTAGTACTGTACTGAAGTTTGTTTGGTACGTTTACAATCTGTTTGGATCCATGTCTTGTGCTGAGCTAGAATAAAGATACACAGCTCTCCATGTAGCAGCAACCGATGAAATCAATATTAAGATCCTGGAAGTAGGCAATTGCTGTGCTACTTCAGCTTTATGCTGGTGAAATGAACAGAGTTCAGACAATGTCAAAGTGAAGTGACTCTGTGATCATCAAGGTTTTCTGTGTCCTCTTGTCACTTAAAGCTGTCAAAAGGAAAATACATACAAAAACAAGGAGAAAGAGAATGGATATATAAATGGTGTCCACCTTTCTGTGGAACAAAAAGTATCGTGTGGTGATGTGGCATTGAAAATGTCATTTTTTTTTAACCACCTGCAAGGTCATTGCAGGTCATGTGTCACGCTTGTGAAAATCAGCACTCTGTCAGATAGCTTAGGAGCGTGAATCCTAGTGTTTGCTCCTCAACTTTGGGAAATTCAGAACCAAGAACTCCCCCTTCCTACAATTTAATAAGTTACACCCCCTAAAAATCTTACTTCCTTAGGTTATGTCTACATTATGAGCTACGAGTGAATCTCAGCTCATGTACACATACTTATGCTAGCTCATCTGAACTAATTTTAACAAGTATAAATAGGAGTATAGGAATAGTAGTACAGGTTGAACCTCCTTTGGGACTGATCCTGAACCAGGGAATTTGCCAGACCAGGAGAGGTTAATGCCAGCTCCTCTGCTGCTGTTGGCTTTGCAGCTCCACTCCGACAGCAGCAGAGGTGCCGGCGGTGCTTGGGAGAAGAGGCAAGGTGGCTGCAGAGCTCTGTGGGAGCACAACCCTACAGCCAGAAGCGCAGCCCTGTGGTTGGCTGGCTGTGCTCCAAGCTGTGGTTCCCACCCGTGGCCCCAAATGCTATGGGGCTGTGATTCAGCTACCCTGCCTCTTCCCCAGAGCACTCCTCCATCCTCATTCCTTCCTTTCCCTTCCCTGAACTTGAGTGCCACAAATCAACTATTTGCAGCACTCTAGCAGCTCTAGGAGGATGAGGGAAGGAGTTCCTGAGTATGGAGCCCACGGCTTTTCCACATGAGTGCTTCAGGCTTGGAGCACCCAAAGATGCTGGACCACGGATGTTGGCGGATGAGGAAATTCTGGATTATAGAGGTCCAACTTGTATGGGCAGCAGCAGCACAGTTAAGCCAACCCGACTACTTACCTACTGGGTTCAGGCAGGTATGTACTTGGTATGGCCAGGAAAGGCCTGAGGTTGGCTGCTGCAGCTGGTGCCCCAGGCGGAACGTGTGATTGGCGTCCCTGTCTGCACGGCCTTCAATGTAGTGATGTCATCATCGGGTGCCCTGTTGAAGGCGGCGCCCTAGGCGACGGCCGAGTTGGCCTATAGTCACGGGCTGCCCCGTGGTATGGCTAAGTTGAGCCTTCACTTCTGCTGCTGCCTGTACTACCAAGACTTTGTGCTAGATTCATGTTTATGTGTATGTGAGCTTGTGCTGCCCCAAGCTGGCCCTACCAAGGGTTAAATCCAGCCCTGGGAGAGGGTTGGGGCTGTGGAGCAAACAGCTGTGGCAATTAGACCCCAGCTGGGCCTGTGTAAATAGGGGCTCCTAGAGAGGATAGAAACATACTGACTGGTAGGCTAGAGAGGGTACCTGAGACAGAGCAGTGCTCGGAAGGGCAGGCAGAGCTGGGGAGCTCTGGCCAGGCAACCTTCCACGCGGAGGTCTTGCTCTCAAGGCATGAGGGTACTAGGGCTACATGGAGGTAGCCAGGGCAGGAGAAGGCATCAGGTCCACACCCCCTGCCTATGATGAATGGCCATTTCAGACTGCAGTTTGCCCCTGGGGCAGGGGCTAGATGACGACTGGCAGTGGGTCACTGAGGCAAGGTGGATATAGAGGGCTGGGGTACCCTGGGAAGGGAGGACCCCCAGTGTGTGAAGAACTCCCTAGGAGACCAGCAGGAGGCGCTGCAGCGGTGAGTCACGACCTATTACAGAGATGGAAATCACATCCCTAGATAGTGTAGAGGAAGCCTTACCCAGACATCTGTTAGCTCTTGCATACTTTAGCAGCACATTTTCATTAGAATAATTATAGACGTAAGTGAGATGCTTTGCAGAGGCTGAAGTTCTCCCAAACTGTCATGATTTCCAGGTGGTAGTACAGAGCAGTGAAATATATGAATGATTAGGGGCCTACCAAACTCTCAGCCATGAAAAACACATCACGGACCATGAAATCTGGTCTCCATGAAATTGACCAAAACGTAGAGTGAATTTGGTAGGGCCCTACAGATGATTGAACTACTTCAGCACAGTGCAAGATTACGGAACCCTTTTTATAGAGTATCCATTTGATACAGCACAATATATTTCCACGAAGCAAAGAAATTAAGAGTTGTTTAGTGATGTAGTTATTTAAAAGGGCACTTAAAAAAAAGCCTTCACCAGCTGTTCTGCCCTTTTATTACAAATGCAGAAGGAACACAATTCACTACCCCAGCATATAAAACACAAGACAGAAGTGATTTAGATGCACGTGCGCTTGTTATACACCCAGTATGTTTTCTCACATTTCAAACACAAATCATTGGGAAAACTTGTCTCTCCTGTTGTAATAAACTCTGTGATATAGTGCATTTTCTCTCCCTCAGAGCACGCAGAAATTGACGATCAGAGTTTTGCATTTTACTAAGACAATTATGTGTCTATTGCTGTTATAGAGGAATTACATTTTTCTCCCTCTGAAATTTTGTGGTGCCGTTTACCTCCAGTGACTGTAATGAGTCTTTGCTCTTGTTTCTCTTTTCTTGTTAGGCCCAGACATGCATCTGGGGCACTTTGTCAAGAATGTTGTGTGTAGCAGAGATGGAATGATGGGGTGTCAGCCCATTTGAGAGCTCTGCACCTCCTAAAATAGGTCACATAACTTCTCCAAGATTTGCACAGATAACTGCAGTTGTCACAGTAACATGTTCCCCAAAGTAACATACAGGGCAATAACATAACTAGCTACAAAATGAACCATAAAATATCATTTTCTGTACATTCTACTGAAAATTATTGCAGTATGATGGGAAGGAAAGGGTGAGTGGCTGTAACAGACACCTCTTACATTTAAGACCAATTCTGTGCTAACTCCATCCCCTCATTGGTCTGCCTGTATGCCCCTGTTGTCTCTTAGCTTAAACTTAGGGTGATGGAGCATTTGCTTTATGAAAATATGTTTATGAATATGACAACTGAGATGTGATTTATGCAAGATGGCTCATGTAAGGTATCACTGGAAAGCTTATGATTTACTGAATATGATGATCACATTTGTATGTACGTATTTTTGTTTTGGAGTTAGGAATATTAATCTTGGAAACTGTATTCAATATTTGCTGCTTTGGGGCACTCCTCCTCCTCTAGAGGCTATAATGGGAAAGCCAAACAGGGCTAATGTCCCATCAGCAAAGACAATGGACTGTGAAAAATTTGACTGTCCAATGGATGACACACTGGGATGTGATTTATGCAAGGTGTCCCAGTCACCTGATACTAACCGACTCCTTGGTCTGATTTACTTTTCCATGGAAAGGTGGTGGAATCACAAAGGATTCCTGCCTTATGAAAATTCTATATAAGGTGGGGGAGGAAACGATGATTTTAGCTGGCTCTCCATCCCAAAGAGATACTTAAAACATCTAGAAAAGGATTCATTTGAATAATTGTGTGAGAGTGCTTTTTCAAAAAAGGGGTTTTCGAAAAGGAAACTACTGTCTAGACAGGGTTCTTTGGGGGAAAAAAACCCTTTTTTGAAAGAACCCGTACTCCTGAAAAAATGAGGTGTATGGGTTCTTTCGAAAAAGGGTTTTTTCCCCCAAAAGAACACTGTCTAGACTGTAGTTTCTTTTTCAAAAAAGCACTCTCACATGAGATTTGTAAATCCGTGCTTCATTTGAATTTTCAATCGGCCTCATTTACATTCCTCTTTTGAAAGAGGAATGTAGTTTAGACAGCTTCAGTGTCTGTATATTCTGCAGCTGGGCATGGCCCTGCCTGTGAGCTTTGCTGGAGGAGGCTTTGGTGCCTGGCTCTGCAGGACAATGTTAAAGAGGGGCCCAGGCTGGCATAGTAGGTTGACTCAGTGGCATCTCAGCACCGCAGCTCGCATCCCAGGGGTCCCAAACCATCATAATGATTTCTGAGTAGGGCTCCTAAGGGCAGTATTAATATAAAATACAGAAAAACAATTCATAGAAACATCTTAGGACTTACCAGTGTTGTAACCCCTCCCAAGAGCTGGCCAGGGACGGTGATTCTTCCAAAGGTTACCCAGGTACCAGTCACTCTGGTTCTCAACCAAGCCAAGAACCTGCTGTCCTGAAAACAAGCAAAAATGCAAACAGACGATTACACAAAAAGACAAGTTAGTCTATGGGAATCAAATACAAAACCTGGAGTGGGAAAGCAAGTGGAAACAGAGCCAAGCAGTTCTGCTGCTGCCTTTATTTCACGTTATGAAGATGGGTAATCACCTAACTGAAAACAATAACATCCTGGTAGTGTAGGCTCATCACGGCATCTTTCTCTCCTGGCTGGCCTGAGTAATTACACATTATGGGAATCTTTGTTATACTGACAAAAATATATGCAACCCAGGCAAATCAGAATGCTGGCTGATCTTGGCATACCATGCTGGAGAATCCTTCCAATGAGAACAAGGTTAGTACCAGGATACTCTAATATGATGGCTTGTTTATTCTTTGATTATAAATACATTATTTGGAAAATAGGTCTAATATAGAAAATTATTTCCTCTTGACTTTTTCTCCCCTTTAATTTCAACATTTTCTCTAGGAAAGCATCAGAGGAGACTCCTTTTGTTAAAGCAAATGATGGATTCTAAGGGGTTAGCTAGAAGAGAAAGTTGCATGGACTGAACTGAGGGTTTGTCTACACAATGGGTTAATGCACACTATGGCTACGTCTACACTGCACAGTTATTTCAGAATAAGCTATTCCAGAATAGTTATTCCAAAGTAGCTTATTTCAAAATAGCACGTCTACACGGCAAGGAAGCCTCAAAATTAGTCCAAGGCAGGCTTTCCTAATGTAGGTGTGCTATCTTCATGTAGAGCCCCTGGAGGAATAACTTGGAACGGCCCTGGTGAGGAGCTATTTTGGAATAGCAGAAGTAGAGCATCTACACATGCCTTATTTCAAAATAGCTATTTCAGAATTAGCGTTATTCTTTGTAGAATGAGGCTTACAGATGTCGGAATAAGCTGTCCGTTATTTCAAAATTATTTTGAAATAACGGAATTGCTGTGTAGACACTCGCATAGTTATTTTGGAATAACAGCCATTATTCCAAAATAACTTTGCTGTGTAGATACACGGTGTGACGGGGAGGTCTGTCCCCGCTCTCTCAACCCCGAAGCGGAGGGCCCGCAGGGTCGGAGGCGGGTGGAGATCGCAGGGCACTGGCCTCACGGCAGCCCCGAGGCAGGGCGAACCCACAGCCCAGCGGGGGAGCGGGGCTGCGGCTGTGCCTTACAGGGCAGGCTCTAGGACCACGGAGGCCACGGGCGGCGGCAGCGCGGCCGGAAGCGGCACGCTGGGCGCGCCAGTTCAAAAGAGCGCCGGGGAGCCAGGAGAAGGGGGGGAAATGGGGGTGAGGGCTGGCGGAGTTCTCCCTCTCCCCACAGGCAGCCCCAGGCGAGCAGCAGACGGGGGATACGACCCCAAACCGAGGAGGTAGGAGGCCGACCGGACTGGGCGCCCTAGGTTCAGGAAGGGCCGAGCGCGGGTGAGGGCGTTCCGAGCCCGGCGGCCGGGACACTCGATCGGGGCGCAGGGGGCCCCCGAGACTCAAGGACCGGAGGAGGGAGCTACCCTCCCCCGGCGGACTTTACAGGGCGGAGACTGGGGCGGGCAAGAGGTGAGAGGCGGGCTGGGGGAGCTCGTCTCGCCACACACCATATGGGTGAGTGTGTGATTTCTAAAGTGCACTAATGTGCCAAGCATTAATTAGTCTGCACAGGCGCACTTAAAGTACCACAGTGCAATTTAACCTAGGGCCATGTGAAACAGCACTATGTGACAGTGGACTAGGGAACTTTCAGTGCACACCAGCAGGGTCTACGTGGCCCAATCAATGTGTCCTACGAAATGCTGTATGAAGTGGAAGAAAAGTGACTGTAACCATCCTTTTGGAGGTCAGAGGAAATGTAATTTGTAACCAGGGAAAGAAAAGAGTGATGCTGTTTCAGAGTATGTCTGCAATACAGCTGGGAGATGCAACTTGCAATATCAGCTCAGCTAATAAATAGCTGTGTGGACATTGTGGCACAGGTGGTGGCTTGGGTTAACCACTGGACTGACTCTAAGCCTGCCTCACCTTGTAGGTTCGGGCTCAGGTGGCTAGCTTGAGCTGCTACCAGTGTTGCCATGTCTGGACTGCTATTTCCCATGGACTAGCTCAAGCTAGTACAAGTCTGTGCACTTACCCTAGGAATCACATATCCCAGTTGTAATTTCAGACATACTCATGCTGGCTAGGTCCCCTCAGGGAGATTTTTGTGGCAAACACTTGAACAACTGAGTCTAGAAACTGTATTATCAACTTTTCTAGATACTATATACTACCCCATGCTCTGAAATGTGAGAACATGATTTCAAAACTATAGGCCCAACTACCCTAGCAGAACTTCCATCTTTCCAGTTACAATTTTCTAGTACTCAAGATGTTGGCATAGCTAGCATGGGACCAAATCACTTTAATCAAAAGCTGTTGGAGCCATATGACGGCTGTGTTTTGAGTGAAGAAATAATGAGCACTGCGGATCATTAAAATTCATAATGCTTTGGGTAATCACAATGATCCCTTTTGGTTCCATAATCTATAAGAACACTGATATCTAAAGTAGGGTATAAGAGCCTTTTGTTCTAAACCACTTTTTAAGGGACGGTCTGAAACAATAACGTTTTATATTTTCATAAATAACAAAAGTTTTTTTTATTATAAGAATACTCTATTATTCATGACATGGTTTGTCATCACCTTGACCAATCTACTTGCATGCCCTTTCTTTTCCCATTCCTGTTAAGTCTTTTTAGAATGCAAGCAATTTAGGGCAAAGGCCATTACGTCTTCAAAGGAGGTACATCAAGGATGGTAGTGAAAATTAATAGTACAAGTTGTGTGAGAAGGGCATAGCAAGTCAGAGAAGGAGGTCAAAAAGTAAGTGTGTGTGGTTTAGACATTGCCTGAAAAGAAAACAAACATTGTTTTGTTTCAAAAGAAAAAAAATATCTATCTGGAGGACTACAGGGCTAACACCTGTTGATTCCTAACTGGAAGGCTGACGGTTCCTTATAAATATCACTCCATTAGAGAAAGAATAGAGTAAATCAAATGAAAACTATTACAAGTAATAAAGGATGAGAAGACCAGGGCAGAAACTCAGAGATAGCCCAGCTGGAACTGAATGTCAGGGGTGAGAAGAACAGAATGTCCCTGCCTATATCCTAACATGTAGACGGTATCATGAGCTTTCGTGGGCATAGCCCACTTCTTCAGATGACCGGAGTGTTGTTTTTAAAATTTTTCCTGTTACAGACTAACTCGGCTACCCCTCTGAAGCTTATATCCTAACAGTGAGTTTCACAACTCAGCAATGAGAATGCTCAGGATTATACTTCTCACATCAAGGAAATGCTAGAATCCCATTTGTAAGAAACAGATATTTAAATTTCTTTCTATGGAAGATCAGTCTGCTTTCATTATTTTATCCCTATGCATTACCAAACACAAATAATAGGGTTCAGCCTTCAAACTGATTTATAACAGGCAATGCACAAATATTGTTGCTGGTTAACAGATTTGCTCTTCCACTTACTGATGCCAACTCTCCATTTTGAAAGATATTTTTATCCCTCAGCTTGTTTTCCCCCTGAGAGAGAGAGGAGACTTAGAAAATAATCTTTGGTTGTATCCTTTTGTTTATTTGTTTATTTGAAAAATAAGGAGAGTACATGGGGGTGCGGAGAGACTAAAGAAAAACAAAGAAAATGTATAAGAAGGTATCCAGGGAAAATCTCTTGTTTTCCATGTGCTAGGAATTCATCAAAAATTTCAAAAATTTAAACCAAATCTTTGTGTGCCTGGCATTCTTTTTCCCCTACACTGGTTTCTGCTCTTTAGCTGCCAGATTTGCCAAGTTGCTGCGCCAAGCATTTATCCCTGGAGTCAATTCAGCTCTTCCACCTAAGCAATATGAGTCATTTAGCAATAAGCACTGCTTTAGAGAACCAAGCTTTCAGTGTGTTGGAGAGTATCCAAGCTGACAGGATATATCCCAAAACACAGTTCTGGGAAATAATTTTTAAGGCAGTATCCATTATCATATTAATCCTCCTGCCTACTTGGACACTCCCAACACATGTGAGCCAGAATGGCTCCAGGAGACCAACACTTCCAGGAGAAGTCTGTTTTGGAAAGGCTCATGCAGTGTATCCTATGTGTGAACAAAATAAAATTTTCTGCTGGATCAGCCTTGCTCACAGAATAATAGTAGAATGTTTAATGTTTTGCAAGGCACTTTCCCATTGGCTAGGGTTCAAGGATATACATGAATTGTCATAGGCCTGGCACAGGAAATCTACATTAGGGTCTCTGTACCCAGGAATTCGTTAACAGGTTACAGCTGGCTGGGAAGACCCCTGGAACCATATCCCAGTGCAGAAGAATTCTGGAGTTTTTGGTGCCAACTATGCCCTCCAAGAGGTCAGCAGGTAACACTGTGCTGCTGGACCAGGTAGTTCATATTGATATTGGAATGTTTGGAATAGCAGAAACTGATTCTTGGAGATCAGCTAAGAGAACTAAATTACCGACCCTACTAAACTACTGTGTTATTCACACCCATTCTTTCCACACTAGTAATTTCTCGTCAGTTTTAAAAAACGAGCCATACCAATGTACAGCATCAACGTGTGACCAGGGATGGAATTAAAACTTTCCAGAGAAATTGATCCTTGTTTGTCTGGTAGCCAACACTGCAGGCTACACTGGTAGCCAACACTGGTAGCCAACACAACATTTTACAACCAAAACAGTAATACAGGTTGGCCCTGTCTGGTCTGGCACCCTCGAGACCTAACCAGTCCCGGATGAGGGATTTTGCCAGACCAGGGGAAAATCTGGACCCCTGCCACGGGCCTGCAGGCCTCCTGGCTGGCTCTGATGTTCTGCTGACCCTGCTGGGCAGCTATCACTGCCATGGCTCCGGGACCTGTCAGCAGTGAGCTGCAGCGCCGAGACCTGCTGGGCAGCCACGTGCTGCAGCTCCAGAACTGCAAGGCAGCTGTGTGCTTTG